GTTCAAAAGAACAGCATTTATTTGAAATCAAGTTTTTTTTGTCATTTTATAGATGTCTTTACTGTCACTTTTGATCAATTTAAGGCATCCTTGATAAACAAAAGTATTCATTTATTTTATTTTTGTTCTTTTCTTATAAAATTTTTCCACAAAAATATTGTGCAGCACAACTGTTTTCAACATTGATAATAATCAGAAATGTTTCTTGAGCAGCAAATCAGCATATTAGAATGATTTCTGAAGATCATGTGACACTGAAGACTGGAGTAATGATGCTGAAAATACAGCTGCGCATCACAGAAATACATTACAGTTTAACAGAGATTCACATAGAAAACAGCTGTTTTACATTGGAATAATATTTCACAATATTACTGTTTTACTGTATTTTTAGAGATCTAACTTGCTGACCCCAAACTGTTGATTGATCCTATAAATTCACAGAACATTTGGCATTTATGAAATGCTTTGATTGATCAGAAATGTCCAAATGCCACATTATTGTGAGACATTGTTGTATCAGTTTGTGTTATGAATAGGGTTGGGTATCGTTCGCATTTGATCGATTCCTAGTTTTAAATCCAATGAGGTAAAAAAATAAATAAATATTAAGTCAAACATTTAGATGTCATCAAACATATTTATTCTGTCTTTTTACAAAGCATTCTGTTGCAGCTGAATAACACGAGCAAAAAGCAGCAGCCTACTTTTGCTTTTTGAACTTTTGCTTATGGTTTTAACAAAAAATACCACAGAAAAACAACTAGACTAATATACATTTCAAACATTAAATTGTTAAAGACAAGTAAATAGTCAGTAATAAAATATAGGAACAAACAAATCAGTCCTTCTTTCGTTTTGAGAAAATAAATAAATAAATAAATAAATCAAGATGTTGTAAGATGAATCAGTTCTCTCTGAGAAAGGCTGCAGGAGTTAAAGAGAGCTTCCAGTTCTCCCCGGCACACATTTAATCAAATTCAAACAACCCATAACTCAGCAAAACTCAATTCTCACTGTCAGAATAGACTTCAGTTTCAAAGACAACATCCGTCAGGTTCAGATAAACATTGTTTGGGTCGGTGAGTGATACTCAAATCCAGAAATTCAATGGAGTCTTATTCTGGAATATTAAATATGACCCAATTTATTGGGGACGGGTGGAAGGATTGGCAGACCAAACGATGCCACATGAAAGATCCGCTCACAGAAAAAATACAGTTCTTCAAGATAGAGTTGTGAAGGATTAACAAAAATTCACATTATACAGTATCATTTTTCTAGGTTATGTAAAGGTTAGAGAAAACATTAACATTCCATTGTATCATTTTGCAAACATTATGGGAAAGTTACTTTTGAATACTCTCTGAACCGTCTGAAACTAAGTATTAATGTTTAATATAAGTTAAATCCATTTCAGAAAAAAACATTTCATGAATGATGCATAAGTAATGTTTTTGCGCTAACGTTTTGAGAACATTATTAAAGACCAAATAACTGAACAAATGTTCTATTAACGTTACTGAAAGAACGTTTGCTCGTAACTTTGAGAAAACCTTGTCAGACCGTTCCTGTTAGCTGGGTCTTTGCTAGTCTCTCTAACGCTAATGCTAGGCCGCTTTGCTGTTAAATATACACTCTAAAAAATGCTGGGTTAAATACAACCCAGTGCTGGGTAAAATAGGGACAAACCCAGCAATTGGGTTGTTTTGACCCAGCGGTTGGGTTACTACCCAGAAGGTTGGGTTAAACATTTAGCCCAACCGCTGGGTCAAAACAGCCCAATTGCTGGGTTTGTCCCTATTTTACCCAGCACTGGGTTGTATTTAACCAAGCATTTTTTAGTGTATAGTCAGCATTATGATTTCTTTTGAGACATCTAAAAATTATTTCTTATTATATGTGATCTCTTGTCATTTTATTATATGTATGGTTATTTTACAGTGCGTATTTTAGTTAAAAACGTCTTAATGCTGGATTTGTTTAATCTTTTGTCTTCTCCAGATGTTAACTGATGAACTGGAGTGCTGTGGATTACTTGTGGATTATTGTGATGTTTTTATCAGCTGTTTGGACTCTCATTCTGACGGCACCCATTCACTGCAGAGCATCCATTGCTGAGACACTGATATATATTTTCAGCAAACTTTCATTTTTGGCTGAACTATTCCTTTAATTGCACTACATAAGTCTACATAATAACTTTTGGAAGATAAGTTGCAGCACATTTCAGATGATAAAAAACTAGACGTATACTTTGGAAAACACAGTAAGTATCTGGAACTTATTTTGACTGTCAGGTGAAGAAAAGTAACCTAGAAATAGCACACCTCTAGTCAACCAGCTCTACTCAAACTCTACTAATTAGAAGACACATCATTCGCTACGTGTCTATGCGGTCTCTGTGTGGCTGCCCAAACGTTAGACCTCACATCAGACAGGACATTTACCTGAATAAACACTGGACTGATTGCAAAGGAAGCTGAGAGGAGCCATTGAAAATAAACCGTTTTCTACCAGTGTTGCATGAAGAGGCAAAGATGCCAGTTTGAGGCAAAAAGAGCAATACAAATGTCACACATGAGCCAGCGCTGGCGTGATGTTCGGCCCAAATACCACCTGATCCTTCCTTAAAATCCAAGAAACGAGCGGCACGTTTAAATTCCGTAAGAAACTGAACATAAAAATTGGTTGTTTTTTCGGTGATTTGTTTTTGTGTGTGGCTTATTGTACTTCTGTATTGCATTTAATTTAGTAAGTAATCCAGAGTAACACTATTCCTATTGTCAGTGTTGGGGGTAACGTATTACAAGTAACGCGAGTTCCCTTTCAGTCGGTCACTCTTGACGTCACGTCGGATGACAGACGAATTGGGATCTCGCTTAGAGAGACCAATCTACTTCGAAGACAAACATTTGTGTGTTTTTTTTTTTATTGCTGAAGTGTGTTGACATTTCTTCTTCTGCATTCTACTGTACGGACGTAAATTTACTTTCCCTTCAGTCTGAGGCTTATTCATTTCACTTTTGGTGTGAAAAGGCTTTTATATTTGCCAAAAATATAACTTTTTTATTTTAAAAACAAACAAGCAAGCCCTGTCCAGATTTAAAAAGTAACGCAAAAGTAACGTAACGCAGTACTTTCCATAAAAAGTAACCAAGTAACGTAATTAGTTACTTTTTTATGGAGTAACGCAACATTGTAATGCATTACTTTTAAAAGTAACTTTCCACAACACTGCCTATTGTTTTAAATGTTCATAGGCTCCTATTGTGTTTTCTTATTTTTCTTCAGTTTCCTCCATTGAAGTCTGTGATAAAAAAGTATTTGTCATTTTAGGTAAAACTATTAAATAACAAATGTCTTGTCTAATGGATCACTCACACACGAAATATGATGTGACAAGCACCAATACAGTATTGTTTCAATTATGAAGTCCTTTTCATCTACTTTTTTACAGTAGCTTCCCAAATCCGCTGGATTCTGATCATTTCTGCTCGCACTTATATTTCATTATCAGCTTTTCTAAAGCATGTTTAGCTAGTGTTTAGCTACATTATGCATCTTTTTCCTATTGTCTATAGGCACAAAATTACCAAATTACATCCGCTCAAGGTATGTTTTCATAGGAACTGAAGGATCTTATATGGCAGAAGATCAAATTCAAAGCAAGCACTTAGTGGAAATCAATACACTAAAAATATTTTATTCTTTCTAGATCAATTAACTGGTCACACACATTATATTTAAACGATTCTGTATATTTTTAGATGCAGTGAGTGAGAAAGCGATCTCTCGAAAGTGAATTAGGCCACACGAATCTCCACTAGTTTATTTGTGCAGAGAGTAGGCTTGACTTATTGACACGAAGGGTCCTCGCTGACTTAAATACACATTTATGTATCGTTTCAGGCTGTCATATTAATCAGAGAATGTCATTTAAATAAAGGCTCTTTGTTAAACAAGTGAATATTTCCTCATTCGTTCATCTAATCACACTGTGGTCTTTATCATAGCATCAGCATCAGGTCTGATTTCCTAATAATCAAGTGCAAGGGAAACAATGACAGCCTGTGGAGAAACTGCACTTGCACAACTGGTATTCATCCAGATAGTTATGTGTTTTCAGTATTTTCCTCCACAAAGCTGCGCTTCATAATTTATAGCCAGAACGGCCTTCAGCTGGAAGTGAAAGAGTCTCCTGCAGTGAGGGAAGAAGTGCGAGATGATATACAACTCTATATAGGTGAAATTTACATGTCAGGTAGTGCTGGGTGATCAATCGATATTTATTACTGGGAAAAAAATCCACAATATATCGATAATAAGCTTTTGAGTTAGTTCGATATTTATCCTACACAGTCTGGCAATCAGCTGCATGTCGCTAAAAACTCTGTAAGCAAGTCACTGACTATTTTTAATGCTATTATTATTATTATTTCAAGGAATATCATACAACTAAAATAAAGCAATAAGCCCCGGGAAGCCGTGGTTTACAGTGAATTTATAACAGCTAAGAGGAGTTGTTAGGTACGATGCGAAGCGGAGTTTAACCCCCTTAGCTGTTATAAATTCACTGTAAACCACGGCTTCACGGGGCTTATTGCTTTTATAAAATGGTTATTCCATATACGTAGTAAGGCTTCACAAAATAAAAAAGAGCAAGTAAAGTGTAATGATATTAATAAAAACAGTATTCTTCCACCAAACAATGTAGCTCCTCAGAAACAGTTGTGGCTGTAACAAAGTGGTTGCCGAGCAACACACAAACGTAAACAAAGGTGTATGTTTGTAGAGTAATTTACAACAGCTTCGAACGCGGCTCAGCCAATCAGAATCAAGGACCGGAACTATCTGTTTTATAATATTTCTTCATTCATGTTTTAATTTATGTAGCATACAAGTTTTGCTGTGCAGCACCTTACTTGACAAAAAAACAAAAATGCAATTTTTTAATTTGTTAAATTTTCTTTTGATTGCACTGAATAAATTGTCAATTTGCACTAAATCATACAATACTTATTCCAGATCAAATAAAACTGAAAACACAGACTTAAAGGGGTCATATGACGGGATGTCATGTGTTCCTTTGTCTTTGGAGTGTTACAAGCAGTTCGCGCATATACATAAAGATCCGTAAAATCGCAAAGATTGAAGTCTCAAACCCAAAGAGATGTTCTTTATAAAGGTTAAGACTCGTCCACGCCTCGTTTAAACACGCCCCCACATGTCTACGTCACTGTGTGGGAAGATTTGCATAACTCCGCCCAAATGTTTACGCAAAGAAAGAAGGCGTAACTTTTATTCTTGCTGTAGTATTGTTGTCGTGGAGACGCTGTGTTCCACATTAATTGTTATATTTTCTTTTGATTACATTTTTAAACATTATGGTTTATTTTATGAATTCTTTTCAACACCATTTTTAAGGATGAATTTGCACTAAATCAACTAATAAGTTTGGGGCAAAATAAAACACATTTCATGGGGCCAAAATGAAAAGGTAGCTAAGTCTGTGGAGTTTACATGTCAACACACAACTTGCATCTTTATTCATTCTTGAGGTCTAAACAAACATGTGGGAAAGCATTTCCTTCTCTATTAATGCTATGAAATGAATATTGTGAGAAATACTGATATGGAATGATATTGTGATCCTATTTTTGACCATATCGCTCAGTCTTGGCGTCTAAACGAAAGCACTGAAGAATGCCGACTGCTCATTATAGAGTTGGCTTCAGGAGTCTGTGTGTTGCTGTGTTTTCTCACCTGATCGTCCAGCTCAAAGTCGCTGTTGTGCTGAGACACATTCTCCAGACTGCGGCACAGGAGCCACGTGACCAGACCCAGCACGAACATGCCAATGTCTGGGATGAACACTCGGATGCCGTTCCCGGCGTCTGCACCTCGGACACTGCGGCGAGACAAACACAGGTACAGTACACGATCACTCCTTAAACCCAGACAATCCTGCAGTGCCTTGCTTGCCTCACACCGCTGCTTGAGCCAGAAGCTGACACGTCGGACCGCTCAGAAAACAGAGGAGTGTTTTGATAGCACCACAGAGCCTCAGTGTTTACACGCTTTGGGAAGTCATGGTTTACTTAATGTTGTCTCTGCATATTAAACTGGGATAGGAGAAAATATTTGAACATAAAAAAAAAAATACGCTACCAGTCATAAGTTTTTAAACAGTAAGATTTTTAATGTTTTATAAAGAAGTCTCTTCTGCTCACCAAGCCTGCATTTATTTGATCCAAAATACAGCAAAAGCAGTAATATTGTGAAATATTTTTACTGTTTAAAATAACTGTTTTCTATGTGACTATATATTAAAATGTAATTTATTCCTGTGATCAAAGCTGAATTTTTAGCATTATTACTCCAGTCACATGATCTTCAGAAATCATTTTAATATTCTGATTTGCCATTCAAGAAATATTTATTATTATTATTATTATTTAAAACAGTTTAGTACATTTTTTATCAGGATTATTTGATGAATAGAAAGATCCAAATATCAGCATTTATCTGAAATAAAAAGCTTTTGTAACATTATACACTCTACCATTCAAAAGCTTGGAGTATATATATATATATATCTTTTTTTTTTCTTTTTTTTCCCGCAGAAATAAATTATAGAAATTATTCTTTTTATTTAGTAAGGATGCTTAAAATTGATCAAAAGTGATGATAAAGTCATTTATAATGTTACAAAAGACTTCTATTTCAGATAAATGCTGTTCTTCTGAACTTTCTATTCATCAAAGAAACCTGAACAAATCTACTCAACTGTTTTTCAACATAATAATAATAATAAATGTTTTTTGAGCAGCAAATCAGAATATTATAATGATTTCTGAAGGATCATGTGACTGGAGTAATGATTTTAAATCACAGGAATAAATTACATTTTAAAATAGAAAACAGTAATTTCAAATAGTAAAAATATTTCACAATATTACTGCTTTTGCTGTACTTTGGATCAGGCTTGGTGAGCAGAAGATACTTTTTTTAAAAACGTTTTACTGGTAGCGTATGCATAAATTATATACAGTGAAAGTAAATTAGAACGGTGTATGAGCCAAACTAACATTTAAGATGAAATGAGTTTTTATGAGTGCTCTTAGTGCAACAATGAGCTGCAGTGCCTCTTAAAAACACAGAAACCCTCTGCTCTACAATAAAAGCCAGTATCCTCGCTCACAGCGCTGGCCCGTCTGGATCTCATTTCCGCGCTCGGCCCGAGTCGAGAGATTTTTCATGAAACCGACCCATTCAAGCCTTCAGAGAGCAGCCCTGAAACGCCACTCGTTTCAAACTCGCACATCTGTAACGACACTTTTCAGCTGTAAAGATGCTCGTTTTCAGATCTTTAAGGGTTTACGAAGCAGACGTTTGCGCAACTTTGGAATCCAGTGCTTTTTATAAGCTGTTAGAGAGCTGCTTCAGCGACGGCTTCAAAAAAACAAGCTCAAAAACTGTGAACAAAACCATTAACATAGTTTGCAGATACGGTATCGTGGGTAACACTTTATTTTGACAGTCCACTTTAGACATTCTACTAAAAGTAAGTAACTTTGCATCTACATGTCAACTAGCAGTCATTAGAGTATTAGTAGACTGTCTGCTTAATATCTTCTAACACTTGATTTTGATGGGTCCACAACATACAACATACTGACTGTGTCAACTTATTCTACTAACCCTAAACCTAACCTAACAGTCCACTCTGAGAGTTAGTTGACATGCAGCTGCAAAGTTACTTATAATTAGTAGAATGTCTAAAGTGAACTATCAAAATAAAGTGTAACCATATCTTGCACAGAGATTGGGAAAATATGGCAAATTCTGAAAACACAACTTGCTGAAATATACAGTATAAGTGCTACTCGATTATTGAAAAACAACAAATGTATGTGCATTGTAACATTATATTACAGTGTACTTCTGGTTAGATGCAATTCAATCATTTAACTATAATAGGTTGACTTAATTCACAATAAAAAAAAGTTTCCCAAACAGGTAACACTAATCATGATAATGGGTCATATTTTTTAAGCAGAAGAGATTATGGGTGTCCTTAAATATAGAACAGTCTGGATAGTTTTCTATGTGGTTTACAACAAAAAATGACCTAGCCTGCACTGATTTCAAAGGAAAATCCTGACTACTCTTATGAAAATTAAAATTACCAAAACCATGGTAACCACAAATTAACATGGTTGTGCTACACTAACTATAGTTTAGCCTATTGTTTTTTAAAACTGTGGTTATACAAATGGCAATCAATCTGCAAAAAACATGGTTACTACACTTTTACTATAAAAAACATAGTTTATTTTCGTATAGGTGTATTTTATTGTAATGCAGTACTGTTAATTCTTTGGATTTTAGTCAATGTACATCAAAAATTATATTTCACCTGCATTGTGAATGACAGTTTGCAATCTGTATCGAATGTGAACAGATAAAACACCGTAACCCAAAATAATATTAAGACGCCACCATCGAGCTGTACACAAAAACAAACACTCTACGCGAGTGTAACGATTCACGAACAAATGACTCTTAAGAGCCGGTTCTTTTAAGTGAATCACAAAATCCACAAGCAAATGACTCATGTATCGCTCTTTTAATGAATCGTTCGAAAATAATTAGCTGTTTGAATCAGTCTGATACATTCAACAAAGCGGTTATTGAATCGAACTCAAACAACAAGTTTTTATAATGTCAGTGATTTCCGTCGTGAATTTAAGTGAGTTTTGTGTATGTAGGGTTTATAAAAATAATATTACTGACTGATTCTTCATATGACAACAACATGTAGTTATGTGCGCAATATCCAGTCAAACAGCAAAATCGAGCAACTTACTTTTTATACACAATATTTTCAGGTACTTTGACTAATTTCATCCTGCCAACGACAACTATTTAAAACTATTTATTATAATTATGTACTATAAATTACTGTCGCCACTCCAAGCAACACAGAAATGGTGTTTGTTTTTGAGTTTCCTGAATCAATCAGTATTTTGAACAAATCATTTGAATTAATGATTCAATGACTCACTCATAAAACTGTCACTTGCTGCCACCTGCTGGACTTTCGGTGTAACCTACAGAAAGATTCACTGGAAAATCCCCATCAACCAATCAATCAATTATTAATAATAATAATAATAATAATAATTATTATTATTATTATTATTATTATTATTATTATTATTATTATTATTATTATTATTATTATTATTATTATTATTATTATTATTATTATTATTATTATTATTATTATTATTATTATTATTATTATTATTATTATTATTATTATTATTATTATTATTATTATTATTATTATTATTATTATTATTATTATTATTATTATTATTATTATTATTATTATTATTATTATTATTATTATTATTATTATTATTATTATTATTATTATTATTATTATTATTATTATTATTATTATTATTATTATTATTATTATTATTATTATTATTATTATTATTATTATTATTATTATTATTATTATTATTATTATTATTATTATTATTATTATTATTATTATTATTATTATTATTATTATTATTATTATTATTATTATTATTATTATTATTATTATTATTATTATTATTATTATTATTATTATTATTATTATTATTATTATTATTATTATTATTATTATTATTATTATTATTATTATTATTATTATTATTATTATTATTATTATTATTATTATTATTATTATTATTATTATTATTATTATTATTATTATTATTATTATTATTATTATTATTATTATTATTATTATTATTATTATTATTATTATTATTATTATTATTATTATTATTATTATTATTATTATTATTATTATTATTATTATTATTATTATTATTATTATTATTATTATTATTATTATTATTATTATTATTATTATTATTATTATTATTATTATTATTATTATTATTATTATTATTATTATTATTATTATTATTATTATTATTATTATTATTATTATTATTATTATTATTATTATTATTATTATTATTATTATTATTATTATTATTATTATTATTATTATTATTATTATTATTATTATTATTATTATTATTATTATTATTATTATTATTATTATTATTATTATTATTATTATTATTATTATTATTATTATTATTATTATTATTATTAAATAATAATTATTATTTATTACATATTTATTAAAATTGTCAGCTGGAAAAGCTACTTTTGCCTAGTTGTCGATTGCTGTAAATAAATGTTTGGACAGACTCAATCCCAGCGTACAAAGCAACGCTTCCCTGACTAGCCTCCATGCAATGGCTTTGAAGTGTGCGATATTTGCTTCATAAACTGTAATAAGTGGCAGACGTTATGGTTAACGCGCTGCGATTGGCTCACGGCGCAGATGCACTTTGTAATGATGTCCGCTGTATCTAAACAGTTTACAGTATTGCTCAGAGAGGCCTTTCATCTCGGTCAGCTCATAAAGAGAAAACCGTGAGCAGACGCAGCTGAAGACAAAGGAGGAGGGCCACAGATGGCACTGATTTGGGTAAAAGCAATGAATTATGGGAACCACTGAAGTGCACAAAGCAAACCTTCTACTTTCACTGCTGGACACTGAACGAGCAATTAAGCGATTGAATTAGATTCAAGAACAAACCGAGACGTTGATATGCATGGATTGGTGGTGAGGTTAGGGTAAAGACAGAGCTTTGTTTTAATGAGAGGAGGAATGTGGGCTGACGCTGGCTGGCGTTTCACCAGGTGTCTCACCCTTCCCCAGGTGAGCGGCACAACTCCAGTGCTTAAATACCAATGAAATGGAGCAGAGATCAGCTGCTTCCAGACTGAGCCAGTGAGAAACTGTCCAAACAAACCCAAGCA